TCTGTTATCTGTTATCTGTTATCTGTTATCTGTTATCTGTTATGTGGTTGCAGCAAGACGGTGCCACTTGCCTTGCATCGGATAAAACACTAAATCTTTTAAGGGAGAGATTTGGCAATCGAATAATTTCTCGAAGAGCTGAGGTTAATTGTCCGCCTAGGTCGTGTGACCTAATACCGTTGAATTATTTCTTGTGGGGCTTTTTGAAGGGAAAAGTTTCTGCTAATAACCCTCAAACAACTGAAAAGCTTCGAGTTAACTTTATTCAAAAAATTTAAGAAATTAAACAGAATGTTTGCGAAAATGTTATTGAAAATTTTGGGAAAGGAATGTAAGCATGCTAAAGAACCAGAGATGGGTCACATGCCGGATATTATCTTTTATTATTAACCGTAACATTTAAACTTTAAAATAATACGATAATATTTCAAGGATTTTTGTGTTTTAATTTTAAATTAAATCGGAAGGTCAAATTTGGATACCCTTTATTATCAATTAAACAAGTGCTCTCGCAGAAAACTTGAGTCGACACTTTGTTCATTTATATATTAATAAAGTAGCCTTTTACATTACCTCAACAAAATTATATTTTGGATTCCAAGCTTGCACATTCGAGCAATAAATTCTTGTTTTATCTACCTGTTTGTCGCTTAATGTTCTCACTCTTGTACGTAATGTGTCCTAATTATGATTTAATAATGAATAATACAGATACCGTGCTCTGTTTCGTACTTAAAAAGGCATTTTCTTTTAGTAGCTAATAGCTACTTTTTATTTACTTATTATAACTTTAGGTTTAAAAATTAACTTAAGGTACCATTTGGGAAGGCGACAGCGAAAGAGACGAAAACGGTCTCTTCACGTCTGAACACATGTAATTATAGGAAAAACATTTGGGACAACGCGACCGACGACAGCACTTTTAACATAGTTTTCATGTAGTGTAATGGTTTATTTATACAGGATGGACCTGATTTAATTTGCATATATAAGATATACGATGTCGGCTAAATGGGGAAAAGTTTCATATTTTGATTGGTAATGCAATAATCCAGAGAAGTTCTAGATTTTTGGCTATTTCCGGAGGTTTTCGACAAAATCAGAAAAATCTGATTTTCGCTAAAGTCTAGCATTTTTATTACAAAAGCTATCAAAAAATATTCCAAGTTTTTGTTATAAATAATGATTCCTATATCCTGCATATAAAAATCTTCATTACTATGCTTCCTATTACAAATAATATTCTAAAGCTAATTACAATAATATGAAAATATGGGAACCCGAAACAGTTACAACAGACCCTCCTTCCTCCACCAATGGTTAAATAAAAATTTTGATGGGTCACGCTAGAGAGTAATTAATTTATAATAAAATCCTTTAAATATTTTTTGTTCTTTTATAATAACATTAGAATAAAAAACAAAAATGAACTTTTTTCATATTTTATCGAATATCTCCGAAACTAATCTAAAAATCTAAATCATTTATGGATGTCCCTATCATAAACTTGTTCTTGCAATGATTCAGGCGCGGATCTGGGAAGATTTCTCGAAGGGTGGTAAATAATTTTATTCGTCGTCGTGATATTGTTTTTTGCTTTCTAGTAAAATCTCGAGGTTAAATAAATTTCCGGATTTCCTCAAGCAGCTCGGGGTGGGGGTCATTAACCTATTACCCCCCCCACCCTTGTATCCGCGCCTGCAATTAATCTAATCAGAATTATTAATTAATTTATAGATAAATATAAAATCGGTTATTACTTTTGTTTTTCTCAGACTCACAAAATTGAATTCACCTAACAATAAATGCTAGTAATAGTAATGTTCGAGAAAACGGCCATTTTTTTAAAATAAATAATGAAATTGAGAGAAATCAAGAATAAATTCCAAAATACGAGGGGTGATAACAAACTAAATACAATTTTATCTTTTCAGTTCATCTCTTTCAATGCTACATTTTTTGGGCTATATGGAAAAGAATGAAAGAATCAGTACCCAGCTAGCACATAACGTTGCCAAGACTTTCGGCGATGTTGCATTAAGGGAACGTAATAACATTACTATACAACGTAAATGCAACGTTCATGAGAAGTTGTTGAGGGAAATCAAAACCTCGCAAAACTTCTATTTGTTATTTACCTAGTTAACCTACCTGTTATGTTAACACAACGTAATAAAGTAATTTGCTAACAAGAACAAGAACTGTTTATGTCAATTGTCACTTGCCAATGTTTCTTGTCATATGTCATGTTTGTTTTTTTTAATTTGCAGAATTCCTTTTATAATTATTATTAAAAACATTTAAGTAGAAGTGGTAAGGATCCTCTATTCTTCGTTTTAGATTACAATGCCTGTTGTAAAGTTTATCAAAATGTTCGGGAATATTTGGATCATATTTTTGTAGTTTTCGACAGAATGAGCTGGAGCTGGTTTATAGAATTATAAAAATGTCCGGAAATATCTGATAACTTTGTTAGAAGCTAGATAGAAGGACTTGGTTTATGAAATTATAAAATGAGGACCTCTAAATACTTGAAATACCTTATGAAAGAGATATACAAAACTAAGTTGCCACGTTACTGGCCTATTTAAGGATGTAAGTGGTGGCAGTAATTCCTTTTTCCCTAGCTGGCTCTTAAAATTTAATGATTCGGAGAGTGAAGGTATTAATAAAAGTATATCTAACTGTGATTTGATATAATATCTCTTTTAGCTTATGCACAATTTACCCTGTGGTTTATAATCCCCTACAAATGGTTATTAAAGCTGTTAATGTGTTGATGGTATTAACGATACGATACAATTTATCTAATGGTCCCCCTTTTAGTACTAGAAGGTGCACAGGTGAGTTTACATGTTTAATTTTTCAAGTTTATCTTAGGAATTATTTTAGGAATTTATCAAAACGAGCCACTACTTCTAAATTAGGAGAAATACTTGTGGCTGAGAAGTTATAAATCTTACTGCAATCAAACTGGTGATTGTTCAGGATGCCGTAATAACTGATGATGGCTTCTGGAGGTGCCAAAGCCTCAGCAAGGGGCTGCAAGTGAATCATAGCTATATAAATTGAGATTCCTATGCATGTCGCTAACATGTGTGTTTTAGGTAATATTTCAGTTCAACAAAAGACCCACTAAGTTATTAGATACATAATTATTCATAAGATAATTACAGTAAATGATAAATAAAGGCCTAAAATAAAATAACACTATTGGTATGTGATTTTAGGGGAGCATGGAGAGGTTGAACTTATCACAGATTTAAGGGCCCTTCTTTTACAAGAAACAAAATCCACAATTGATTCCACTTTACTAAGAATGTAACAAACTTCTGGGTAATAATATACTTAATCGAACTAAAAATACATTTTAAAAATATTGTATTTTAGATTTTCTTTGTACCTAAAAACATTCTAAGAATTTTAGAAGCAAAATAAATACTACAGACTTGTCTAAAGAAGAATAGCTATATGACATGAAGTTTTATAAAAAGTGAATCTATATTTTACGTCTATATTAAAAAAAAACAACATCAGATTCAAGCAAGTGCCAAACCAGAAGAAAATTTGAGAAAAATCACAGAAGATGCCCTCGAGCATACATCAGAATATCTTGCTAAAAAACATGAGTTGTTTTTATTATAAAATCTTCATACTAACTTGGAAATCCATAATTATGCATAAAATTTGTGAAATTCTAAAAAAAAATTAGAGGTTTTATTTAAAACAACAAAGTAAGAGAAAATTACCTAAAAATAAGTGCAACGATTTAAACTTGAGTATATTTTTTTACTTTCTATATAATTTACTTCAATAATAGTTAAACAAGTAGGTCAATCTCTTTTTTATTCAATATGTAGTTAGAATAAAATAATTTTTGTTCACCTTTGTATAAATAATAAACTAACAAAATAAAAATATATAAATATCTATACAAAAAAAAAAGTTAAAAGGTTTGATTTTAAAAAGATGATATATCTCTGTGAGTACAGGTAAGCAATCTGGAACCTCAGCTATCTCATGATATATACCTAAGTCATTGTTGCAATCATCTATTATTCACAGATCTAGTTTTTTTTGCATCATACAATTACCATCTTGAAACGTACCTTATATAAATATACTTTTGTACAATCGTTCACTGTTTAAGCTTCTAGTGAACCTTTGCAATATTGATACCTTATTATTACTATTAAGCAAATTTTGTCCAATCGTTCAGTGCTTTATAGGTGGCTTATACATGTGTAACTGCATTTGTGATATACCTACCTCTACTTTTGTGATATTACTACTTAATTTCAAGAACATTTTAATAATAAATTTATATAAATATTTTGTTTTATTTGAAATTTCCATGTCTCGATTGAGTTTTTACTATACCTCAATTTCAGCCTCTCCGTATTACATTACACAAAGAACAATATAGTGTGTCCATGGATGGACTTAATTATACTTGTAAAAATATTTATTTTAAATTAAAAAAAGTTATTTTTCATAATTTCTTAATGTGAATCGAATTTATTTAACAAGTAAATTATGAAGAATTACTTTTTTAATTTAAAATAAATATTTTCACAAGTATAGTTAAGTCCATCCGTGGACACACTGTATAATGCAGTAGAACTAATTCACATTATAACATCTATAGAAAGTTTCAGAGCAACTTTCAGGGTAAGTACCGTAAAAGTGCTAGTGTGATGTTTTCCGAACTTCACTTTTTATCTTCTGTGAGATGTGCTATAAAAGTCTTGCCGTTGCGGACATTCGGTCGTTGCAGGGATATTAGGGTTACATTAAAAGTACATTGCATGTGAGCTTAAAGAGTCTAAAATTGCAGCTTATTAACGTAGATGGGATGTTTTGTGCTAGCTGGGTAAATATAGATTATTTGAAATCACATCAGTGTCTCCTATCTACACCTTACGTACCTACGCTCATTTTCCTATCAGCCGAACCCTGTATAACCCTGTATAACTATAGAGAACATGAAAACAACTTACCTGTAGTATGAACTAGGATCGGGTGTAGTCGTCGGTTTACCCTCGTATACTATCGTGGTCATTCCGTAACACAGTGGTCCGTAGCACATAAACGAATGTCCAACTACCCATCCGAAATCGCTCGTTGCCCACCAAACATCGTCAGGGCTCAGTCCGTATAAAGTCTTAAGATTATAAATCAGGGCACATAAATATCCACCAATTGGTCTAGTGATACCTTTAGGTTCACCTGTAGGTAAAAAAAGAATTGGGTCACTGCTTTGGAAAGTTAAGTTAAGTTAAGAAATTTACTGTAGCCCTAATATACTTAGAGTTTTTATAAATATTGGCTATACGTATTCAAAATTTTCTGTACCTGTGGTTCCAGAAGTGTAGAGTATATACAAGGGGTCATTGGCATCTACAGGAATACACGGGGCACTTTCTGAATTTTTAATCGATTCCTCCCAGTCCATGTCCCGTTCTGGATCCAGTTCAGCAATGTCAACGCCCTTTCTTTGAAAAATTATACATTTGGATGGTTTGTGGAGTGATAGGGCTATGGCTTCGTTTAATTCCGTAATATAACTGTAAATCAAAACGACACAGTTTTTATTTGTTTCAATTAAAACTCAAGAAAAAATAAACTAATTAAACCAGCGGCTCTCAACCTGTTGGGGTGTGCCCCTTGTGGGAGCAGCAAGATTTTAGGTGCCATGTGAAGAATTTAAAAATTATAAAGAAAACTAGCTTTTTAGAAGTAAATGTTCCGCAAAACATCATCATACCGACAATTCAGAACGACCAATAATCACCAGGAGTCACTTTTTGATATAGGTGCAAGTTGACTACCCCGCGCCGCACAGAATGTTGATTTAAAGGATTTAGGGGGTCAAAAATGAAATTTTAAAAATATAGTTAATAATTCCACAAACATCTCAGAGGCAAAGAAATGTTCCAGTAATGATAATTTACCATCCTTGCTTTCAAACCATTCTTCGTGAACGCGCGTATGTAGTCGTCACAAGAAGAGTATGTTATTGTTCTCAGCGTCATCAGTGTAAATATTTAAACAGAGATACATTTTGTATTGTCCACCCAATATTTTAGTTATTATGGATGGATTTGAATAAATCAGGTAAGAATAAATATTTCTTAGATTAGATTAGGAGTTGGACGTTATTTGTCATTGTCCACCGCAACCTTTTCATATCTATTGTGGGACTCCGTTTATTTTAGAGTATGTCGTCTAGCCTGGTCTTTTTTATTAGACTTAGTAGCTTTGACAGTGGCTCCCGCATGTAGTTGCATGCATTTGGCTTTTCTTCGCCCAATGTTAGAAACCTTATTCTAGTTAGGTCTTCACATTGGCACAGGACCTGAAATGATGTTTCTTCATCTTCTTCTTCTTCACAGAACCTGCACAAAGTTGCTTCTTTTCTGCTGGATTTATGACACTCATGTGCCTTTTGAGGCGACAGTGTCCAGTAAGATGGCCTACTGTAATCCTAACGATTTTACGCTTTTGATCCAGTAGGTCTTCCGTGAACTTGGCCGATGGTTCCTTGATGAACTGTTTGGCCTGTCTTAGTCTTTAGTCTTTATGAGACTCTTTTTGCATCCATTGTTTAATGGATGCTTTGCACAATGCCTTAGCAACTCCACAGAAGGGTTCGGGGCCTGTCATGGCCTTATCTGAGCCTTCTCGAGCTAATTTGTCATCATTTTCGTTGCCCTGATATCCCTTATGGCCTGGAACCCATGCTAAAGTCAAATTATTTTAACTACTTAGCTCTGCCAGGTCTTCTAGACAGTTTTTCACCAGTCGTGATTTGATTTCTAGTGAGAGAATTGCCTTTAGAGCTGCTTGGCTATCAGAGTATATGGCAATAGCTTTGCCTGATACTTTCTGATTTAATATTTAATATTTCTCTTGTACAGTGTTGTATGGCTATTAATTCAGCCTGGAACACTGTTGCATATTTTTCTAAACTATGCGAAATCGTTGTTTTCAACTTGGGTCCATAGATTCCAGCACCGGCTCCTTCCTTGGTTTTTGAACCGTCTGTGTATCAGACGAGTTCAGCCTGTACGGAAGGTCCCTGTTTCCAGGATTCTCGGGCTGGTATTTAAAATTGAATTTTTTTTAAATTTGTATGTGGTTATGGCTCTATCAGTAGGCATAGCTAGAATATTATCCCTTTTTACTTGCTGATATAGCCTTGTGTGGTCGGCGCTATGTAGTTGGCTTATTGGGTTTTGTCCCTGCATTAGCCTGTGAATAGCTGACCTGATTTCTCCTTGTATGAAGATGTGCAGTGGCGTGAGATTTATTAATACCTCCATTGCTTAAGTCGGCATAGTGCGCATGGCCCCAGTAGCACTTATACAGGCAAGCCGCTGAATGTTAGTGAATTGGCCTATTGCACTTGCCTGCGCAGTTTTGGTTATCCACGCCACTGCACCATAGGTTATTATGGGTCTTATTATTATTATTATTATTGTGATTTTGGGGTTTAGACATCAGTTTTTCCCACATATTTGTCTACAGCTTACGAAAGCTATTGTAGCTTTGTTTTTAAGATGTTGATTCCACTTCAGCCTTTGGTCAAATATGAGTCCGAGGTATTTGGCTTCTGTGACGAATGGGATAACTATGTTGTTTAGTATTAGTCCTGTAAGTACTTGTTTTTTTGTGAATGTTACAACTGTTGTTTTTTGTGCGTTAATAGACAATTGTTCCTTTTTGCATCAGTTGTTCACTATGTTTAGAGCTGTTTGAGATCGCTCCGAGACTGTGCCTGCAAATCGCCCCCTGATGATAATTGCTAGGTCGTCTGCGTATCATAGACACTGGTAGCCTTCTTTGGATAATGTTTTGAGTAAGTCGTCCACAAGAACTGACTACAGCATTGGAGATAATATTCCTCCTTGTGAGCAACCCCGTGTAACTTTTGCCTGTATGGTTACCTTTCCTAGAGTGGATAAAATAATCCTGTTCTCTAGACAGGCAGTGATCCATTAGCATATTGCAACTGGGATGTTCCTCTCTTCTAGAGCCTTGGTTATTGACCTGGTTGTGGCATTGTCGAAAGCTCCTTCGATGTCTTAGACAGTGGCTATTGCGATTTTTTTGTCATCTATTGACTTTGAAAGCATCCTGTTTAGATCGTCCAGCGCTAGGTCAGTTGACTTTCCTGGATGGTATGCATATTGGTTGGGATGAAGCAGATTTATTTTTATTATCTCGTCCCTGATGTACCTATCTATCAATCTTTCTAGAGTTTTAAGAGGAAGGAGGTTAGGCTTATAGGGCGATATGGCTTTGGCGTTTGGTCTGTGACCCTACCTACTTTGGCAAGGTAGACTACTTTCGCATTTTTCCATATTGCTGGGATATACCTCCAGGCAATACGTGCTCTGAAGATTTTGCATAAATGTGGCATTAATCTTTACAATTGTGGAGCAGAATTGGATATATTCCATCTGGCCCCGGGATTTGTATGCCTTAATATTTCTTGATTTTTAACATTATTTTATACTATTTGTAGAGCTTCCAAGAAAGGTTGTTTTTAATGAAGTTTTTATCTAAATTTTCATGTTTTGTTATATGATCGTGTCCTCTCGAGCAATACTTGTTATTGTAATATATACTTTCTACATTAGGCTAATTATTGACATACAATTTGAGGCGGATAGGTGCGCATGATCAAATTATGTTTTTAAGGATGGCAAAAAAAATATTTTGTACCAAATCTAGCAAACTGCACTTTTATTTGTTTTAGGTACACCTGGTACCTCTGATGCAAAAAAGGTTAGCCGAATATATCTTAACGATTAAATGCAACAACAAGAATGACCTAATTTGGATGAAAAACTTAAATATCTGGAAAATCTCCTCTTGTCCTGTTATAGTGATACCCCAGAAAACCTAAGCAGTTTAAAACAAAGAAAACGGGGAAAAATTGTCTAAAGCCCATAGAAAAGAAGCCATATTTCTTAAAACTAATGAAGCTTGGTAGAATTAACATTTTAAATTTCAGCAAATAAACAAACTCGACCAGGTCGGCCTTCTAAATCATTTGATGGGATTATTAAATAGTATCAATAGCGCGCGCACGTATCTTACTACCATTCCGTAGCTGAAAATAAGTCCAGGTTATATTCAAATCTTAACTGGGCCATTTCGGAACGGTCTGTGCATCGGTTGGGCCTCCCGCGCTTATCGTCTCAAGTCTCGTGGCTCTCTAAAGCCTTGGTTTCTTTGAACACTCCGTCGCGGTGAGCGGACAGTCCGTCGACCGTCGCGTTTTGACGATTTTATCCAACCAGAGTATTTAAATGGGAATGGTCTTCTTGAATCCGCTTAGCTGAGCAGGACGGCGTCATGCCGCTGATTTGTCGCGACTAGTCGGTTAATATCTGTTGAATTTGATATCAGCGGAATCGTCGTCGTGTGCGGAGACAGTTTGTGAATACAAATAATTATATTGATATTATTTTTAAAACAATGAGACAAATTCACACATACAGATAACTTTATGACTTTATTTGTAGATTTCTTGGAAATGTCGTCTTTTATAGAACTCAACATGAATTCAAAAAGATCTGTAGAAAGTCTAAAATACTTCCTAAATTTGGTTTCATTTTCAAAAAACATCCGCTGCACAGTAATATTAAAGGCACCTTCTCTATAGCGACGCAAAAACAACTTGCCCACTAGCTTATTGGAAACTTTGACGGTTGCTATTGTCAGTTCCTCTTGTTCTTCCACTTCCAACAATAATAATAACGCAAACAATTTATTTGCGTCAATTTTAGTACCTTTCATTTACATTCATAACACATAAACAGCACGTACAGACATAGACAAGGTCTCATTTTCTATATTTTTTAACAAACCACCTCGGGCGAAAATCGCTGTCCTCAGCGGTCGACTGACTGTCCGCTCACCGCGATGGAGTGTTCAAAGAAACCAAGGCTTAAAAGCGCCGAAATACGTAAGGTTTGGGCGGCATTTTTGTCAGATCGACGAGGTGTGTTTGTCGAATATGTGATTCGATTTCGGTTTTGTAAATTATTAGTTTGTGTTAATTCGCCAGCGCGTGTTTCCATTGTATATGAAAGACGTAGATGTAGAGTATAAGCATTTTTATCTGCGAGACATACATTGTTGCCGGCCGACCAGTCTAATCCACAGATGAGTCACGCTCAAATAAATTTTTTACCTAAAACTAAACGAAGCGATTTTTTAAATACGCGCAAATTTGCTGCAAAAAGGACCGCAGAATAGAATTAATGTATAAGAAGTAGATAAATAATAGCTACAAAATAATTATCTAAATTAATATTTTGTACCTAAAATATTTTTTGTTCGAAAAATTTTTCATTAAAAAGGTTTTTAAGATTTTGACTTTAATTTCCCATTTAATTTCCACAGTAAAATAATTTTGACCGCCTAAATCTTTTAAATCAACGTATGTGCGCCGTATAATAATAATATATAAAACTCTCCCTAATTCACCCCCTTACGAGTGAATTTTAACCCTAAAAGCTGAGCTTGTGCGGGGAAAGGGATGGATATTATT